ATAGAGATAGAATGAAGCAGAATGATGAAAAAGGGGTCCCTATGTCCTCCAGCAGTCTAAGCCTATAGCAGCAGAACTATAGAGATAGCTCAGGAGATAAAGGAGCCGTAAGCCTGATCTTGGTCTCAGTCGGACCGTTTAAGGCTGAAGCGTTGACCTCGCCTGGATCCTTGCAGATTAAATGAGGGTCAGAGTTCTGAGACTTGAAGCATTATGAATCAGCCGTATTGAAGAAATGTTGAGACTGTTAACGCGTATATCTGACTGAAACACCCAACAGCATTGAGTTTGTTCACAAAGGGAGTTTTTAGCTCTGATGCCTGAACAAAGAAACGTATTATTTCTTTCTGGATCTGTCCTCCCTGTCCTCGACAAGAAGCTTTGAGAAATAATCAGTTTGTTTTATTCTTTCTTCATTTAATCCAGAAATGGGAAATGTAAGAAAAAAAATGTAGATGTTGTAACTACCAGAAACTAAATCTAATCTTTTTGAATGTAAGGAGCCAAAAGTTGACCAATCTGTTGCTGTCCCTTTTTTTCTCTTTAATTAATTTAATTTGTTTCTCTTTAATTTGTCTCTCTAGCCTGATCTCTGCTTGTTCCTCGTCTTAGATATTCTTTGTAAAACCATGAGTTCTCTCCGGGTTCTCAATAGGAACTTCCTTTTCTTCTGCTGCTGAAAGGAAACTCCTCTGAATCAGTGATTTATGCTGTTTTCTGTCTCGCTAGCAAACCACAGTAGAAGAGCAGAGTCGCATCATGCAGCTGGAGCGGGAGCTCGCCCTCCGCCAAGCTGAGGTCCAGGACCTCCAGGGTCAGCTTAGAAGAGTCGACGCAAACTCCCAGCAAGACGCGGCGGGGACCGGCGCCCAACCGGAGACCCTCCTCCTACGCGAGCAGCTGCTGACGGCGGGCCGTGAGCACCACAAGGAGAGCAGCGAGCTTAGAGAGAAGTACGAGGCGGCTCTAGCGGCCAGCCAGCGGGAGATCGACTCTCTGAGGGCGATCGTGGAGAAGCAGAGCGTGGAGATTGGCGAGATGAAGCAGAAAGTCCAACAGGCCACCAAGGAGAACGTGGAAATGATGGACTCCTGGAAGGTGCTGCGTTACCGTTTGATCTTCAGATCTGGTTGTAGAGCATGTGGTAGAATATTTATTGGTTCAATAAATATAAAAGATTCGCGTTTTTTTCCTGCTTCGACTGCAGTTTCCCGACATTGTGCTAAAAGTGGATTGTTTGTTTTGCACAGGCTAAGTTCGACAGTTTGGTCGTCGACCATCAGCGATCGCTGGAGGAGCTGAAGGCATCATGGAGCAGAGGTCGGTCTGCTCCACAAGGCCAGGAGCAGGACGCCCAGGAGCTGAGGACCACCCTGGAGAGCCTGAAGATGGAGCACCAGCTGGAGGTGGAGAACCTAAAGGCCAAACACAAGATCGAAGCCGCCGTTCTGACCAAGGAGCGCGAGGACCTCTGCGCCCGACTTCAGGAGGCCAGGGAGCAGCTGGCTGAAGGAAGGTCCGACCCGGAAGCTCAGAGCAGCAAGGCGGCACTGAACGAAGCCTCCCAGAAGCTGCAGAAGGCGGAGGCTCGGCTGGCGGAGATGGAGATGCTCCAGGTGGAGCGGAACAAAACCGCGTCAGAGCTGCGAGACCGACTGGAGCTGTCGGAGAAGAAGATGACAGATTACCAGGCTCTGCAGAAGGCCCAGGCCGAGAGCCGGGAGGAGATCCAGAAGCTGGAGGAGAAGCTGAGGGTGATGGCGAACAAGCTCCAGGCTGCGCAGGCAGACCGCATCCAACCTCAGGATGCAAACGTAAGCAGCTGAGGCTTTAGCTGCATGAGCTGAAGCTAGTCCTTCTCTAAGGCTTTACGTCTCCTTTCTCTGTTTCAGATGATAGAAGATAATCAAATCTCCGATGACAAGATCAAGCTCAAACACAATATTGAAGGTATTTAGATCCATTTCTTCTTCTTCTCCTTATTTTATGATTTCTAAAAACGAGATTATAAAATTAACTTTTAATCTGGTAACTTTTGAGTCATTAGGATCAAAGGTCTGGTTATCCTCCAGCAGCAGCGTGTTGCAGATATTTCTGATTTCTGCCCAATATTGAAGCGTGGTCTGCGCTATGTTATTCCACGCCACAACGCCAGAGGGCCAATCAGGAACTAGCTGTGGGTCTAGATACGGCCGAGGCGGTGAGGAAGTGGGGGCAAGTTTGTTCAACGGAGGAACATGAGGGCCAAAAAGAGCGGGGATCCAGGTGGAAAAGGGTCCCAGCATTCTCGCGCACCTCGCTCTGCTAGCTGCTCCATCTTCATGAGTCGTTTTCCAATATGGCGGTCAGACAAACAAAACAAGCCAGTAAGGGACCAAACAGGAAATACGCATAGAGTAGAGCGGATGTAGAATTGACCAATCAGAGGCCTCCTGTCTGAGGTCACCTACGGTTTTGGAGAGGTGCGGAATGGGGGGGAGCGGGGCATATCGGAATTAACTGCGACGCAGACGACTTGGTTTCTGAGTATAAATCAGCCTTAAGGATTTGTTTAGAAACACTTGTTGGTCATCCCAATGATCTCAAGGCCCTGTCACACCGTGACGATTTAGACCAGCGTATGCCGGACGTACGTAAAATCTGGCAAAACGCTGGCATACGCTGGATAAATTATGGTTACATATTGTTAGGAGCCGCTGAAGTACGCTGAAACACGCTGATACTCGTCGATATATGGAAAGTACATTGATTGTGATCCATGATGTATGCAGGCGTATGCTAGGTGGGGCATAAGCAGAGATGGCAAAAGTACTCACTTTCCGTACTTAAGTAAAAGTTCAGATACTTATGTTAAAAAATACTCTGGTAAAAGTGGAAGTACTGATTAAACTTCTTTACTCAAGTAAAAGTAACAAAGTACAGGCTTGTAAATTTA